ATGTATATATATATATATATATATATATATACATATACATATATATAATATATATTTGCAATTTTATTGAAATGGTTTAAGCCCTTGCAGTTTCTAGTTCTTGTTTTTAATTTACTCCCCATTAAAGTTTCATCAATTAGTTTAATGATAAACAACAGTTATTTTGCAAACACACACATTTTTATATGGATCAATTGATATGGCAGTTTTTTGTTTCATAATAACATCATGTAACTATATACATCAGCAGTTATTGGTATGTTTATTATAAAAATTATGATATTGATTTTCCTCAATAACCTTCAGTTAAAGATCACATAAAGATCAGTCCTATATTAACTTAACTTATAGCTTTTTATATATCTATGTCCAGCTAACTCGTTCCACAGTTCTGGAGTTAAGACCAAACTTTTCATATGAACTCAGGGTGTACTTATCAGTATGAGGTAGGCACTACCGAGGGGAGCTAAAGAAATTGCCCCTGAGAGGTCACCCAGCCATAATGGGGGCTTGAAAATATATTTTCTGAGACACTGAGTCTGAATCTGTTATCTCACTTTGTGTTACAGGCCACTTCAGGATTCTAGGGGCATCATGCTTTGCTTTGTTTTTATCATTGTTCAGCTAACCCATCCCTTAGTTTTGGAGTTACTAGGTCCAAACTTGATAGGTTGACTTAGGATAGCCCACGGGGGTGTCCTTTCATAACCTCCGTACCAAGGGGCTAAAATGCACCTGAAAGGCTACCCATGCATAATGGGGGTCTAGGAGTAAGTTCTTATGGTTGCTAAACCAGATTCTGGCATCTCATTTTGTGTTCCTGGATCCTATTAGTAATCCATGGGTGCCATTTTTGAAACTGTGTTCACACCCTCACTCACTAGCTAGTGGAACCAAACTTGGTACACATGCTGAGGTACCAAAAGAAGGTGTCCTAACAGGGATTTTGGAGGTACAAACCCCTTTAGGAGTAGCAATAATGGAGGAGCTTTATTGGTATATTGAGAATTCTGTAAATCAGGAGAGGATCTGTGAACCCAACACTGGAGCGTGAGTATTTTATTTTAGTCAGTATTAATACAAGCTCTTTCTTTTTTTTATATATATTACCACTTATTGACAACATGTAAGTTTACACATCTGGAATTATTAATATATGTAATACAAAAATTAAATTCTTATTTTCCTCAATAAGCTTGAGTTACTTCTTAATATTTATATATATTTTGTTTTTCTAAAAATGAGCAAATGCTGCTACATATTATGTTTGCTTTCATATTCAGTAATTCATCAAAATACAGCAATTTAAATGAAACATTGTGGTTATTATATATTACCTTGAGATTGAAATATAAGCATGAATTGTCTAAAGCAGTACATATATATATATATTGGTTTTTTGATTTGTCTGTATAAAAATCTTATTTGGTATATCTTATTACACCAGTTTTCAATGTTCTACCCATTTTAATCAATGAAGGTGTTGCTGTACCTAACCTGCTTTCTATTGTAAATCTTTGTAATATGCTTAAAATCAATTAAAGTATAACTTCAAAGAATGAGAAAAATGGATCTGTCCAATGTTTTGTTTGTTTTAGTGGTTTTATTTGTATTGCATTATACTACCAAATGTATTGGGACAGCTACCCTCAGCTAGTAAAGGACCCATCTTCACTAAATATAAATGTATACACCATTGTGCACTGCTGTATAAAGTTTGTAAAGGTCAAACAGCAGTGTTATGGAATTAAAGTGTCATGAAGAAAGGAGCTCACAGAGCTCACAAGAAGAATTGTTATTGAATGTTTTTTGTTGTTAAGCTCAAAACAACACAATGGGCAGTCTGGGCTTTGTCCACCATGGGTATTGAAACCTGATTTTTAGCATTATAAGCCTTAAAGCTTACCGTTGATCAACTAGGAAAAACTTATTGGATGGAACTTTATTGTTATTTTATCCAAAGATATTTTGATCCAACTATATGTACTGTATTTGGGTATGCCAAATCCACTGTGATAGTGGGATAAAGAAGTGTAAAGCCATTGAACATATTAATGGAATTTTGTTCATGCTCCTAAAAATTAATCACTTCTCAATCTATTTGAACTTTAATATTTATTGCAAAAAAAAAAACAGCAACATAACATTTAGGATTATAATGTATAAGAAAAAACCAGTGTTATATACTAATTTCAAAATAGTAATAATACACTATGCCATATCACACACTTTTCCTAGCAGTGATTAAGACTAATAATTAATGATCAAAATCCTTTCAGGCCAGTCTAAAGCTTCAACTTAAGTCTCTATGGTATGTCTTAGAATGGTGTCTGAAAGACAGAAAGAACATACCATAAAGTATTATTAAATTTCCAGTTGATGTGTACTAACATTGATGGCAGTAACAAAATTTAGGTTATGATTAATGCCAAAAGTGAGTCATTCCATATCAGCAGCAAAATATAAAACCCTTCTAGTTAAGGTATGCTATCCTGCAACCTTCGGTAATTAATGTTGTATATATCTAAATTGAAAAGTCTATGGTAGTTTATTTGTTTTGATATGATAACTTACTTTTTCTTACAAAATAGCTTTCCTCGATTTATACTACCCTCTATATGCGCAAATTTTCGCCCGCTACTAACCTCTATGCTTCCACCTACCTCCACATCTTTTCCATGTGATATAGCAGCATTGTAGTATACAAATAAAGAGACAACAACCCTCCACCAATAGGAGTGCAACACACCCTCCTAGCACAGCTGACTCCCTCTATGTAGTAGAACCGAATCTTCACTTTTCGATTTTGCACAACAACAATTAGTCACCTTGTTCGCCTCTTGTTTAAATTTGGTGTTCAATGCCTTTTGCATTTGACACTTTGCTTTTGTTTTTGAACTACAGCAACAATTTGTTTGCTTTAAATGTTTTTTTTTTACATTCGTTTATTGCCTTTTTTGTGAAGTTTCATTACTACTTTACATTGTGTCATTTCATCTAATTACTGTGGTGTGCTTACACTCAGAATAATTAACATGAATTCCCAGTTGCAAGTCACAATCACTACTGCTTTGGACACTGCCAGTGAAAAACAGCCTATCATGGTGGCTTCAGGTTTGATGTTATTGACTGAGGAAGTTTCTTCTCTTGTCTGCCAGAAGATGGTTTCTTTCATGTGAGCCAGGGGGTTTCCTGTACATCAAACACTTCTCCCCACATGAGGCAGAGGCTGAGACTTTGGCATACCTTTTCTGGACACACTCCATATTAACTCCTCCCCATATTGGGTTTGGACCCTGATACCTCAGGGTACTTTTCACAAGTACAGTTTCCTGCCTTTGTTTGACTTTAACATCTCTCCTTTTTACCTTTCTTTCATACATCTTTTGTCTGGGGAACTCCATTGTTCCCCCTGACTGGTTTTTGGCACATGCCTGTTCCATCCGCTTTTCTACATTTGTGTGCATATTCTCTTCTACCCTGTCCCTCCATACATGGCTCCCTTGTTGTTAGGACCTCTTAGATAGGGACTCTCTGTTTTAACTCAGGTGAATCTCCCTTTACATCTTTGTATGCTTTAGGCATGGCCCCCTTTTTTATGGCAAACTGTTTTGGTGGACCTTCCTGACTCATCGAGAGCGGAATCTGCCCATTCACATACTTCCCTCTTTTTCCTGACTACTTGTTTGTCACAACCTTACCCACCTTCTGTCTCTGTATCCTGCCCACCTCCTTCCTCTCCATTACCTGTTCCATCCTTATGGGTCACGCCTTCACGGCATATTATTGTTCACTCCTGACCCACATGCCATCACTGTCCCATCGGAATGGGTCTAGTAGGGGCCAGTACTTTTTTTTTGTTGGAGTATTTGGGATCGTTTACCACAGACTCATGGGTTCTTCGAGCATTATCAGA